ATATACACACGCACACAAAACAGAAGAGGGGCAAAGTGAATTTTTTGTAGTACAATAAAATTTATATATATATATATATGAACATATATTTCTCTCATATAAAAAACATTCCAACCTCTTCTAAATCCCTGAAACCTTCTTCCTGGATTTAAGAAAACAAAGGATGAGATGGCTCCTCTTAAACTGAAGTATAAAACAAGTTCTTTAGAATAGCGAGATGCTTAGGTACAGATAAGTTGAGTATTTCATGCCCCACTGCCATTTCTAAAATCTTCTGTAGACTTAATTCAGTCTCTAACTAGGTGTTGAGTGGAGTGACAAACATCTAATGCAGTGGTTTTCAAACTTTTTTCCTGGCAACCCAGTTGAAGAAAATTGTTAATGCCTGCAACCCAACAGAGCTGGGGATGAGGGGTTTGGGAGGGGCTCAGGGCTGGGGCAGAGGGTTGGGGTGTGGGGGTGAGGGCTGCAGGGTGGGGCCGGGAATGAGGGGTTCAGGGTGTGGGAGGGGGCTCTGGGCTGGGGATTGGAGTGCGGGAGAGGTCAGGGCTGGGGCCAGGGATGAGGGGTTTGGGGTGCAGGAGGCGCTCCAGATTTGGGAGGGCTCAGGGTTGAGGTAGGGCGTTGGGGTGCGGGAGAGGGTCAGGGCTCTGGGCTGGGGGTGCAGGCTCTGGGATGGAGCTGGGGATGAGGGGTTTGGGGTGCAGGAAGGGGCTCCGGGTTAGGAGGGGGCTCAGGGCTGGGGCAGGGGATTGGGGTGTGGGCTTACCTCCGGCGGCTCCCGGTTAGCGGCGCAGTCGGGATGCAGAGGCAGTCTACCTGCCAGTCCTGGCACTGCGCCCCGGAAGTGGCCAGGAGCAGGTCCGGCTTTTAGGTGGAGGCACACAAGCAGCTCCGCGTGGCTCTCGCCCACAGGCACCCCCCCACAACTCCCATCGGCTGGTTCCCGGCCAATAGGAGTGTGGAGCCGGTGCTCAGGGCGGGGGCAGCGCACAGAGCCCTGTGGCTCTCCTGCCTAGAAGCTGAACCTGCTGCTGGCTGCTTCCGGGGTGCAGCGCGGTGTTGGAATAGGTAGACACTGGTCTGCCTTAGCTGGGCAGCACTGCCGATGGGACTTTTAACCTCCCAGTCGGCGGTGCTAACCAGAGTTGCTAGGGTCCCTGGGTGCTGAGCAAGGTGACCCAGTCCTGGGTTGCGACCTGAACTTTGAAAAACACTGGTCTAATGCAAGGAGGCTTATAGAAAATAATTTAAATTCATAAAGAAATCTCCCAGGCACAAAGTTCTTTATATTATGTCTATTCAAACCATAATCCTTCAAATAGTGAATAATACAAAGTGAATAATATAATCTAGACAAACATCTAGTAGAAATTCTTCATAACACAACAAATGGTCAGGAGGGGGGATTATGAGACTTCTCTATGGTTCTTTCAGAGTTGTAGTCACTTTACATTAAAAGTTCTACCCAGAGTTTCTTTTACAGAAGCATTTTTAATTGTTTTTTCCCCTGCTCTTGAAATCTGTTTGGAATCTATGTGCTGGTTTATGGACCATTTCCACTGAACTGAGTTTTGGGAACAGTATGATTACTGAAGCATTTAAAGTTCTGCTCTACATTTCTTTGGTATTATCTACTATATATTTAAATCATCTCAATATAAAAGCCTCTTTTGGTTTAATCTAAGGGAGTGATTTGGTGCAGCAGATCACAGGGTATGTCTACACTGCAATGTAAGGCCAGGGTTAGTGGGATTCAGGAACTGAGACCCTGGGTTTGCAAGTCCAGGGATTGAGCATCTACACTGAATATTGACCATAGGTTTAGAATTTCTGCACCTGGGCCTCTAGCGTCCACACTGCAGTCCACAGATTCTGTTCCACTCATAGCAATGTATATGGGCTGCACTACACAGCAAGCTCCTCTTTAAATAGACAGCATTTGACGGAACGGCTGTGAGTGTACTCTGGGATTTCAGGAATTGCAGCAGCATCACTTCCATTAAATCAGTGTAAACTTGATGACCTAGTGATGTGGGGAGTACTACCCATTAACTACACCTGCCAGGAAACAATGTTCAATCTGTATCAAGTTTTGTGGGGGGGGGGGGGGGAGGGGGAGGAGGGGAGGGGAAGTGTGCTGAAGGGTTTGATACTGCTGCCTATAACTGCTCCCAAAGGCAAAACACTCTCTCATTGGCTTCAGGAAGAGAAGGACTTTTCCTAGAACAGGAAAAAATGTTAACATATACTCATTTAGGTAAGGCTTCTGAATGGGGTAATGCCCTTGAGATATTTCTATTTCAGCAACAACTGACAAGTTTTTCAGACAAAAGCTAGGGAGCTGGAGTAGGAAGCATCTGGGTAACCTCCCCAGTGTTTGATTGCCAACATGCACTAGATTTATTTAAAGTATATATTCTTCCCTCTAACCTATCAGAATCCCCCTGCTCTACAATGTCCAGATGATGCATGCAGATCCTGTGGTGCTGTTGGCAGATCCCTAAAGAAAATCTGGAGTGGATGTTGGAGCTTGAAAGATGGTAGGATAATGTCAGACCTTCTGTAAATACTATGTACACACTGGATTGCAGATTGGGATTTCCAGCACCATAGTATTCCAATAAGCTGAGATTTCTTACTTCGGTACCGACTTCTTAGTCTTCATTTGACATCTGAATTTTAACAAGAAGCCTTCTATTTTCTGACATTCCAGAGCCCTTAGAAAAAATTCTGCATTCTCTCATTTCTGGAGATTTTCATATGAGCTTTTGTAGTGGCTGTGGCATTTAAATTCTGTCTAGATGTTCACCTGAACCATATATATTCACTGGACCAGATCTGAGGCTTGGAAGATAAACTGGGTTTACTTATCCATTTTTTAGGAAACACACAAGAAATCCACATTCTATAAACAGATTCTTGTTTTCCAAAACTCCTAAATTAACAGTGGTTTGCATCAATGCCTCCACAGCACATAGATGTGTGTGCAGCCAGGGCTGGCTCTAGGCACAACAAGCTGGTGCTTGGGGTGGCACATTTTTAGGGGCGGCATGGCCGGCGCCAGAATGTCGCCCCCTAAAAATGTGCCCCGGCTGCCCTAGCTCACCTCCGCTGCTGCTGCCGCTCACGCGCTGCTGCTCCCCCTCCCTCCCAGGCTTCAGAGCCTGGGAGGGAGGGGGAGATCCCGAGCGGCCGCGGCGCGTGAAACAGCTGATTCGCGCGCCGCTGCTCCCCCTCCCTCCCAGGCTTGAGAGCCTTGGGAGGGAGGAGGAGACTCCGAGTGGCCGCGGCGTGTGTGCCGCTTCTCCCCCTCCCTCCTAGGCTTGAGAGCCTGGGGGGAGGAGGCAGGGCTGGGGATTTGGGGAAGGGGCGGAGTTGAGGTGGGGCCGGGGGTGCGGTAAGAAAAAAACGGGGGTGGGGGGGAATTGATTTTGCTTGGGGCGGCAAAAATCCTAGAGCCGGCCCTGTGTGCAGCACATCCCCTATATATAATATGAGGAGCTGCACATCTTACACACATTCTCTTCTTCCCAAGCTATTCAGTCTCTTCATCTTCTGGAGTTGGAGTGTCTGTAATAGATTGTCAAAGCAATAGGACTCTTGAATTTTAGTGTATTATGTTTAGACCAAGTGACATCTCATCTGTTTCTCACCCAGTGCTGAGTCTCAATTTCAAATGTGAAAAATCCAGAGGCCTGCTGTCATTTGGGGTTTATTTTGGTACTATGAGCAACTTCAAAGGAACTTGTTCATGTAACTGACCTTCCAGAAAATGTTCCTTTCATTAAATTGATTAACTCAGCATCATATGAAGTGCAGCATTTTATTTTGGAGTCATCTTTTTATATTTATGGGTATGTCTACGCAGCAGTTGGGAGGTGTAAGGCTCAAGCTAGTGCCTAAAAGTAGCAGTGTAGCCACAGCAGCAAGGATGGTGGCTTGGGTTAGTTGCCTGAGTACGTATTGGGGGCGGGAGGGGGATCAGACGGGATGATACTTAGGTGGCTAGCCTGAGGCATCGTGGCCAAGCTGCTGTTTTTAGGCACTAGCTTGAGCAGAGCTAGCACGTATCTGTCTACCCACATTGGGAATCACAGTGTGTATACATACCCTGTGTGGTATCCAGCTGGTGTGTATGCATACCCTATGTAGGCAGTATTATTTATAGGGCTGTTAGCAGGTGGAGAGAGATTCTGACTGATTCTCTCCATTACTATTCTAATTCTTTGACAAGGCACTATACATTGTGCATTCAATTGCTGATCTAGATTGTTCCATCCAAAATGTTAAAAAGATTTTTAGTGGCTCTAAAAGCTTCAGGAACCACTAATTCTAATGCTTCATCAAACAATTACATGATTTTCCAGATCTTATTTTGAACTGGAAAATCTGTATAATTTATATTTAAAAAATAGTGAAATGGCAGCTTTTAGTAATAGAAAAATATATATTTACAATCAATACTGTTATCTTAGAATTGCAGCTCATCTCATTTCTTGAGCTCAACTAAAAGTGCTACACTACTTAAAAATCCAAACTCTGTGCATGTATATGTCCACATGCAAGTACATAGGCAGGGGTCCCATTCCTGATACATAAAGAATCCCATTGACAAGGAAACAGTTTTTTTTTCTCATTTGTTTAGAAATTAAGCTGTAGCACCCCCCCTCCCCCTTTTTGCTTTTGTTTGTTTACAGTCAATTTCATGCATACATTCTCAGATATTTGTGCGGTGTGGTTCTTAATCAGCACGGAGGACCCCCATAAACAGAGTTATTATGATCCTCAAGGATGTCTGCAAAACAGCCCCAGAATCACCAAGGAATGGAAGCTCTTGCCAGTTTGTGTTTGTCCTCCTTGACCATTCTTTTGTTCTTAAAAAGAAAAAAAAATCACATTGATTTTACAAATTGCTAAAGGTTACCCAGTGCTGCACAATAAAGAGAGCGGTAGTGAACATTCATCCATGCTTGATTATACTGCAGAACTAAAATGAGTACTGGTTTAAATTTAATCACAAACAATATGAACTGAAATTAGATATCTAAAGAACAAAGACATATAAAGGCTTCGGACCAGCTGTGTTAAATACATAAGGTTGTAAAACATTCAATATTCAACTTTGCATGTGCGTGTTGACATGAAAGTGACACTGAGAACATGTGTCCACATACACAAAAAAAAGAAAGAAAACCCAACCAAACCAGGCAGCCTAAAGGAATGTGCCTACTGCAATGGCCAGTGGTCCATGTGCTGCTCATACAGCATATATTTGTTAGGTGAGAAGTTATGTGCAGATAGGTGCCACTTAAAAACAAAACAAAAACCAACACTAAACCAGACCAGGGGAACAAGAAGAAGCAGTGTCCTGTGCTTAGCTTAAAGGGTTGGTGACTGTCTGGTAGTTTGCAGGTAGCATTTAAGTGAGCTGTCAACTCATGCTCAGTGTATATAAGCCATAAGGCATTACACGATTCTGTGCCCACATGAAACAGGGCTGCATTTAATGATTGTGCAATTCTTTGTAAAGGCTTCTACCACAAGTTTGTTCAGCATTATGTAGAAAGCCTCTTTCCCAAAGTGGTGGAAGTCATCAACTCAATGCACTGCATTTGTGCTTAAGTGCGCTGCACTCTTTTTGCATTAACTCTTTGCGATATTTTTAAGTGATTTATATCACATTAAAATACATGATCCTTATCCTTGCCTGATCCCTCTCTGATACAGATGAATCAGACAAAAGGATATTTCATCAGAAAGTTTAAAAACGTTTAAAAAGTCCCACAAAAATATTCTATATATTACTGCACAATCAATGTAGGCTTCCACATACCACAAAGTTTGGCTCGGACAGATGCCAAATTTCACCCCCTTCAAATATGCGGTGTGTACATGGAGCTAGTTTCACTGACCTCATGCCTGCAGGACTGTTTGTTCAGTTTCCATGCATCTGGTCCAAGCATGCATATGCTATAAAAAGTGGCTATTTGTTTTCAAGACTGAAGTAAACTGATTTCTCACAGATTTAACGAACAATGAAAAATGAAATATCAATCCATATAAACAACACATATAACTCTGCGCATTTATGTGCCAGGAAAGTAAAGGAAGGGTTTGCAGATCTAGCATCAGGTAAAGTCTGGTAAGTAACGTAAACACTGTAATATACAGATTTTAAAAAATACATACAAGAATTGCACATATATCCATAGGAGAGAAGCACAGGCTCAAAACTTGAGCTATATGCTTTCCATCACCCATCTCACAATATTAAATAACACCTTTCGTTTGCCCCCATTGTGTTCTTCAGAGATATTTGAGACAATTGAGAACCTAGCAATACTGAGCAAAGAGAGCATCTGTATGATTGTAGGCGTTCCATAGGAAAGGTCGCTATCTCAGGAAAGGAAACCAGCAGCTGCCTCTAAAGGTGAAAAGTTCCTTCAGGTTTTTTTTTTAACCTTCTCCTTAATATCCACTCGTGCCCCCTTACTCTAAATCTATATCTGCAATGATCTCTGAGTTATGTCGACAGCCATTCCATTTTTAGGGTGTTGTCTGAAGCAGCTAGTATACTAGTAAACATTAGTTACTGATAGAAGATTTGTAGCCAAATACTGCTGTGGGGAAAATAGATCAGCTCACTGTTAGTTACAGCTGCCAAACTTTACAGGTCTCTCAGTAATTAAATAGTAGTGTTTTCCCCTTTGTTTCCCCCCCAGAGAAATGCATTTGAAGTAAAACCATCTCCATGTGGCCTGTTAGAATTGTTTAGTGCTTGTCTGTGTAGCTATCTCCTGCCAACACACCAGCACTGCCAATTCAGTCCTGCTTTGCAATATGCCACAAGTGGTTAGCAAACCAAAATAAAACACAAAGAAGGAGGCTGCTATTTTGATACCTGATGCATAGCAGCAACTGAAGGAGGATTGGTTATGTAATTTCAGTTCATTTCAAGCCCAGGGTTTAGTGCCTTTTAGGGTGGGAGGGATGTTTCAGTTGTTCTTGGTATGTTATGTTGCTTTTGTTTAACACTGTTAATCTACAATACATGACTTTCCGGTCCTATATACTGGTGGGAAGAGAAACATGCATGTTCCGTTTGCTTTTCAGTGGAGATACTACAGGTTGATGATCATGGGCTGATTAAGGCAGGATCCTTGGAATCCAGGACCCGTGATCAGAAGGGATATGGACAGCTAGCAAGTCACAGAAGGCAACAATATTGGACACTGATGATTGCTGCCTATTGATTACTTGCTGGGATCAGAGGACTACCTCAGTTGGGAGGAAAATAAAGAATTTAAGAGTAGGAGAAAAAAAAATCTACCTGAATGAGAAGACTATGTGGATGAACTTCATCCTAGACTGAGAGGCAGAACCTTTCACGGGGGATGGAGCGGAGGCAATATTTTTGTGGTCAGAGGCTCTTAACTTTGGTGGATCATTTGATTCACATTTATGATGAATTAATCTGTTGATGGTCATAAATGGTCACTGCTTTTTCTGCAGATGCTACCACTAGAAATGGTAGGATCCATCCAGAGGAGATGGGGAATTCATTCTCTATAGTAATATAAAAATAGTGGTCTCCTTAAGATTTTTCTCTCTCCTTTTTCAATCTGTTAAAAAATTAATCCAACCTAGGAGGTATATAATCCAATTGCAACCATTGTACATATGATTAAACATGGAAGGCCTAGGAATTGAATAAAGTCTCCATCGTATCTTCAATAGGAGACAGTATTTCCAATTAGAACCAATTTGCTCAGGATTGCTAGCTTTGAGATCTAGGCTATTTTTTTCAGAAGTTGTGCAAAGTGTGAACCCTAGAATAAAGAGGTGGGAGCAGAATAGAGCAAGGAGTACGGGGTTGAGGAAAAGCAACAGCTTGTACAAACTAGTGTTGCTGCATGATTTTCACAATGCGACTGAGTGAGTCTGTAGTGGCAAATGCCAGATATTGAGAACAAAGCCAGTCTTCAAGGCTGACTCCACACTCTCTGTCCAAGGACTTCTCTGCAAACTTGATCATCAGCAGCGTCCGTTTGATGTCCAGCCAGTTCTGCAGCACAGCATCCTTCCGTACTGGGCTGGAACATGAGCTCAGAGTGTGGAACAAATCCTCACGCGGACCCCATAACAAACACTGAAGGATTCCCTTGGCCTCAGAAATAAGGATTCTCTCTGAAGGATTGGGATTCAGCAGGCAGCTGGCGAGTTGCTGGAGCCCATAGGAATAGAGGGAACGGGAGGGGATCCTGGGGAGGTCAGCACGGGTATATTCCTTCTCCTTCAGCTCTGGATTCTCATCAAAGGGGTTGGGTAAGTGCAGCATTTCATAGATGAGGATGCCAGTTTGGAACTCATCACACTTTTTGTACTGTGTGGCAGTGATGATCTCCGGGGCCAGGCGGGATTGGTCCCGTAGCACCTCTGGATCTACCATATGTCTCTTTTGCTTGGCCTGTGAGAAATTGCTCACAATTAGCCTGGCTGGGCAAGCTGCGTTGGGATTGGGCTCCACAGGCTCATAGTTCAGAAGGCCTCCCCTTGGTCTGTAGTGAACCAGCAGCAGGTTCTCCAAGCGCAGATCACAGTGTGTGATGTGATAGGGTTTCAGGTGCTCCAGGCCTGAACACAGCTGTAAGAGCAGTAGACATACCTGTCTTTCATAGAAGTCTGGGTTATTTGCATGGCGGGCTGTGGACTCTCGCACAAAGTCAGCCACCGTTAGGAATGGTACCTCCCGTGTGATGACCACAACACGGCTGCGCTGCTTGCTGCTGGTCCGCTCACTGCCTGAGTTGTCTTTCTGTGAAGCCTCCAAACAGGAAGGGGTTTCTTTGTTCTTTTCCTCATCTTCTACCTCTTCTTCCTGTTCATCTTCCTCCTCCACCTCAGGTGCATTGGGATCCTCCCATGGAAGGAGGCGAACAGGTACATCAGCTAAGAAATGGCCACAGTCCTGTTGGATGTTAAAGTTAATAGCCAGACTCTGTCTGATAGCCAAGCTGTGGTAATACTGTTGGGATTCTTTAGCTTTGCTCTTACAAATCTGTTGGCAGAAAAGAGCACAAAACCAAAGTCAATTATTATAACTTTTCATTTGTAAACGTTTTTTCTTTTTAAATGTGCACAGGGCTGCCTGCTGCCAACCCCACCCCAAATACTGGAAATTAGGGAGAGTGAGGGCTTAAAAACCCTCCCCTCTGCCCTTTGGGAGCATACTTTGAAACTCACATATGTTTTTATTTGTCTTACATTGATTGCTTTTTGGAGTGGAAGCTAAGGACTCTGGACTTCTACTTATTAATTTTTGAAATATATCATGAGGTATTAAGTGATGACACAGGCCACTGGAGATTTTATTTTATATATTTCTTATAGAATCATAGAACTGGAAGGGACCTCGAGAGGTCATCTAGTCCAGTCCCCTGCACTCGTGGCAGGACTAGTATTATCTAGACGATTTCTGACAGGTGTTTGTCTAACCTGCTTTTAAAAATTTCCAATGATGGAGACTCCACAACTTCCTTAGGCAATTTATTCCACCCTGACAGGAAGTTTTTCCTAATATCCAACCTAAACTCCCCTTGCTGCAATTTAAGCCCATTGCTTCATGTCCTATCCTCAGAGTTTAAGAAAAACAATTTTTCTTCCTCCTCCTTGTAACAACCTTTTACATACTTGAAAACTGTTCTCATGTTCCTTCTCAGTCTTCTCTTTTCCAGACTAAACAAAGCCAATATTTTCAAAAAGAATGAGGAGTACTTGTGGCACCTTAGAGACTAACAAATTTATTTGAGCATAAGCTTTCGTGGGCTAAAACCCGCTTCATCGGATACATGCAATGGAAAATACAGTAGGAAGATATATATACCCAGAGAACATGAAAAAATGGGTGTTGCCATATCAACTGTAACGAGAGTAATCAATTAAGGTGGGCTATTATCAGCAGGAGAAAAAAAACTTCTGTCGTGATAATCAGGATAGCCCATTTCCAACAGTTGACAAGAAGGTGTGAGTAACAGTAGGGGAAAAAATTAGCATGGGGAAATAGTTTTTACTTTGTGTAATGACCCATCCACTCCCAGTCTTTATTCAAGCCTAATTTAATGGTGTCCAGTTTGCAAATTAATTCCAATTCTGCAGTTTCTTGTTGGAGTCTGTTTTTGAAGTTTTTTTGTTGCGGTATTACGACTTTGAGGTCTGTAATTGAGTGACCAGGGAGGTTGAAGTGTTCTCCGACTGGTTTTTGAATGTTATAATTCTTGACATCTGATTTGTGTCAATTTATTCTTTTGCGTAAACCTACTGACCGCTATACTTACCTACATGCCTCCAGCTTTCATCCAGACCACACCACATGATCCATTGTTTACAGCCAAGCTCTAAGATATAACCACATTTGCTCCAACTCCTCAGACAGAGACAAACACCTACAAGATCTCTATCAAGCATTCTTATAACTACAATACCCACCTGCTGAAGTGAAGAAACAGATTGACAGAGCCAGAAGAGTACCCAGAAGTCACCTACTACAGGACAGGCCCAACAGAGAAAGTAACTGCCATGTACATTGGCCAAAGCAAACAGTCTTTATGCTCACATACTTAATTCTTTGCAGGATTGGGACCTAAGTGATCAGCTGGTATAACTACAGCAGTACTTTCTATGTGCAAAGCTCAGGTTGAGAGAAGACAGGAAGACGATGCTTTTTGGATTTTGATGAAGCTAAAGCTTGGCTTAACTCATATCTAAACAATGTGAAGGAAGACCAGAGTAATTAGGGTATAGATGGGCCAGAGGACAATTATGGCACAGTATTCTTTCTGATTTTCAGTAAAATGTTTTGATATGTTGTAGCATTTTTCTGTATATTAATTAATATGAATGTATGGCATCATGTATTTCTTGCAGTTTCTTACAATTTTTGGGAATACTTGGTAGCTGTCTGTTTTTTCTAATATAGAATCCAAAATCATTTAAGGACTTATACTTGACAAACTGTAATTCTGGGGGAGAGGAAATCATTATTTCTTTGGAATTTTGTCTTTACTATTTGTTAATCACTATGATTTTACTGATGATTGTGATTGAAAATGATAAATAAATGGAAAAAGTGGATCCTTAGATTGATAGTGTGTGCTGAGTATGTGAGTTTAGTGCTTGAGCTATAGCAATGCTCTTTACATTAGGAAAGAAAACTGGGGTGTCATTAGAAAATCCATTTCAAACAGCTTCATGTTAGATTGTGGTCCCTTCATGCACTTTCAGCAGCAGCTCTGTAATGCTATCACACTATCAAAACAAGCATCTTTGAGGTCTGTGCCATTATCATCAGGATTTTTTTTAAGTTGGTGGTGGCTCTGAACATTTTGGGAAGTTATAAATGCCTGTAATGAAGGCAATGGATCCCCCAACAATTATATTCTCTCTGTAGAGACTCACTGATATTCTACTTGTTTAACAGATAAATTGTTGAACACTTAGGCCTACATTGTGTCTCTACATCCACTTTCCACAGTAGAGGTCAATCACTATGGTAGGAGATATTAGAGACAGACACAAAGGCTCTTGGAGTGCAGGCCAGAGCAGTGGCTGTTATGCCTTTTACAGGATACAGTATGTGCAGCTTCCTGTGCCAGTCTAGTTCTGATGGCTAGTACAGAGGGAAAGTGCTGAACTTGCCTCTCCATATGAACTTTAAGAAGACTAGTTCAATAGCCATGCATAATAATTACACTCCAAGAGTCCAGGGCTCTGACTAGCTTTCCTTCAGATATTGTGCAAGACGAGTCAGACTGGCCCTTAATTAAAAAAAAAAAGTATGTTTTTCATCTTTTATGTGTTTCCCAGTAATTTAGAGTTGCTAATAGTGTAGATTAAGTCCTCTGTGTTTGCCGATCAGAAAAGTGCACTGTCAGATAATCATATGCAATTAGATATGCTAGGTGACTAAATTTTTGATGCAATCCTCCTCCCTCTGATCCTGTGACTGTTCCAATACATCACAAATACCTGAGCCTCCCAAAACACAGACACACTGGAGTTTAAATTGCCTGTTTATCACTGTCGTGTACAGGCAAAGCAAATTTACAAAATGCATTTTCTAGTCAATTTTATTTAAGAAGGAAAATGCACCACTTTCAGGAGTGAATGCTGATTGTTACTATATCTGAGCACTGGCTCTTTGTAATTTACACTCAGAATGCATTTTTAAATGGTTGGAGAAAGGTGAGCTAATCCTAACCTCACCAATGGAATATCCCCAAAGTCTTTTAAAAATACAGAAAGTGATAGCGACTACGTGGCCCTGATCCTGCAAACATGCATGAAGTTAAATGTGTCAGCTGACAGTCTTGGACGCTTAAGTCCCCTGCTTCATTAAAGAATTGGTACAGTATAGGCAGCAAAAGGGGTGGCTTGCTGCACACCATACCACTAATGTGCCTCAAACTTCATCTGGAAAAACATTTTGAAGGTGTGTGAGGGTAGTTCAGTTTCCATACCAGTTAAGTCTTTGGCCTCTTCCTTGGGATGGGCAGCAAGGGTGGCAATTCATTCCAGTTGGGGTGATGTTTCTCTATGACGTGGGACACTTATCTATAAGAAATGGACTAAAGATCCGCAGCTCATTTTGCATAGGCCATCAAAATGTTGTCAGACCAACTTTTCGTCACTGCTGAATTAGAACTGGCAACCTGGAGGTGCAAGGCTGCATACCTCATTTCTAATCCATCAAGCCATCCAGCCCCCTGAATTTAATGTAAAACCAGAGAGATTAGAAAAAATAAAGTGGTGTGTCCCTTTTCTATCCAAAAGTCATCTTCAGTTTCCATATTGAGTTCTATGCAAGGCATCTCCCTTCATTTTATATTTCCATTCCATGCTTTGATATTTGTAACCTGGTTTGTGTTTCTGCTCTCATGATGATAGATGAACATCTGACTTTACCCATTCTAAAAATAGCAACTTGTTAGTCCTGTTCAGTGACTGTTTGTCATTAAACAATTGGAAGAAAGGATGTATTGTTTTCAGAGTGAGTTGGGAGAAGTAAATTCATTAACTCCACCAAGCCAATGAAATTTACCACTAGTCTGACAAGTTGTACTGTGAAACCAGTGTTACCAGGCGTGGGTGGGTATGAAATTTATTTATTTATTTATTGCCTTTAACACCAATAAAGAATATTCTCTTGTGCTAGGAAAAAAAGTGTATAATAAATAATCATAATCAAGGGAGAGCAACTCTGTGAATTTATATCCTGACATTTACAGTAGATTATGTATAGATTAAGGCTCAAGATGATCTATGCAGACCAAAATTATACATCACTCCAAGTCATCTGAGCTGCTTCACAAGGAAATGGTGTTTCTATGTATTCAACCCAAGTGGCACTGTATTTTCCTCCAACTGTGACTTTCAGAAGAGCAATAGAATGAAGGGTGGTTTTGGTACAGGATGGTTTGTGTGTGTGTGTTTGGTAACACAGAGTTCATAATCCATTTACCTCACCCAAAGAGTTACAGTTAAATATATAGATATCTCCAGATCTCCACATTACCATTTTTCATATGATAGGTGTCTCATTAATCTTGATTATTGAACCTCTTATGATGTTAATTTAGATAGGAGTATTAAATTCTAGGAAATAATTACTGTGCTCATGCAGCAGCCATTTTTCAAATAATAATAATTTGGGTTTTTTTTAATACCAAAATGACCTAGCCCAAATTATAAACTACTCACCCAAAAATAGTTTCATTTTAAAAGTCAAACTTATTTTTTGTAAGAAAAGTAGAAAATAGGATCTGTAAATAACTACTGTACCACATTTTATTTCACCAAGAGTCTTGGAACGATCCTTAATGCCTCTTAACTAGCTCACACTGATGCTACTTCAAACAAAGGTGAGCTGGGATGCATTACTTTTGAACCCATCTATGCGTCTCTATTTGATGGCACAGAAGGATTTCTAAATAGCAATACAAGGGTTTATTTTAATCCCCACCCCATAAGAGCCAAGAAGCAAGGGATTGAGACTACCTCCTG